ACCTCCTTGGAGTGGGCGATGCATGAGGCTACTGTACCAAACCCCCCCCCCCGAAAAGAAATAGGTGTTAAGTTCGGGGCCAGAAGCAAGGGTGGGAGAGGTAGCCCCACAAGGTCAGTGTGCCATGATCGGGTTGGTTTGGTTTGTCTTTGTGTCTTTTGTTTTGTTTTTAAACAATCATTAGTGAGATTTTTCTTCAGCCACGAGTGTTGGCCTTGAAGCAGAGGGCTGCAGCCCTTGGTGTTTGTAAAATAAGAAAGAATACACAGGGTGGCTATGGTTGGGTTTTCCCCCCCTTCCTTTGAGAATTTTCTTTTGTAAAAGCAAAATTAAATGCTTTTTTAAAACTGAAATCTGTGGATGAAATAGAAGCTGGAACGCTCCTCTTGGAATATTCAGCCTAAGAACCTCATGGGACTATGAATTCACCCGAAATTTTCATTTGCCATCAGGCCGAGCTTTTAAAGAAAAAATTGTTCTCTAACCAGGATTGTAACAAAAGTGTAAATACTGTTTCAGAGTTGAAAGTTGATGGTGCAAATATGTATATAATGTACTGTATTTTTACAATGATCGTCGCATGACTCTATTCCACCCCCTTTTTGTACTCCATATCTGTCTTCCAGAAACATCACCTGCCCTTTCTCCTGTGGTCTCTTAATCCAATAATTGTATTACTGCCATTAAAGGATGCAGTTATTTTAAAAAGCCTGTGGGTCTCATCTCTCCAAACCACCCCCACCATCCCTTGCCCCAGAAATAGGGGGGAATGCAAACTTGAAACCAGGATTTGTTCTCATGGTGCCCAGTCCCAGGGTGACGTGCATGATGACATGCCTCTGCTTTCCCTAGCAGTTGACGACTGCGTCCCACAGTTCTTGAGCTCTGGCCCTGTGTCAGCCTTAGTACTCAGAGACTGTGACCCACACAAGTCACAGGAGAGGCCAGTGATGAGCTCAGGACAACTGGGATAGCTTCTAGGGGTGAGGAGAAACATGAACCCTAGCTGCTATAGAATGAGTGTTTGTGTTCTCTCAAAATGTGTATGTTGAAACCTGTTCATCCAATGTGACAGCACTTGGAGGTGGGGCCTGTGGGAGGTCAGGAGGATGGAGCCCTTGTGAGTGAGATTAGTGCCCTCATACAGGAGACTCCACAGAGGAGCCTCGCCTCTTCCACCGTGTGGAGGCGTGACAAGAAGACAGCCAGCTAGGAACCAGGAAGAATCTCATCACCAGACACGGAGTCTGCGGGCACTTAATCTTGGACTTCAGCCTCCAGAACGTGATATTTTGTTATAGCAGCCCAGACGGACTCAGACAGTACCCACTTGATAACCAGGGATCTTCTCCAAGGAAGCCACGGTCGGCCAGGGTGTGAAGGGTGCAGGACTTGCCTGGAGAGTCACCATGTCTTCTTTGGACTTAATTTAGTTTCTGTGTTTCAATGGGCCTCTGTTCGTTTTCCGTGGCTGCAACATAAATTACACAAACCTAGTGGTTTACAACACAAACTTGTTACCTTCCAGATTTGGAAATCAGAGGTGGGACATGAGTCACATGGGCTGAAATCAAACTGTTGCCAGGGCTGCATCACTTTCTAGGAGAACAGGGAGATTCTGTTTATGGCCTTTTTCCAGCTTCTAGAGGCCACTCACCTTCCTTGGCTCATGAACCTCTTCTGACTTCAAAACCTGCAACATCACGAGTCTGGCCCTTCTTCCATTGTCTCTTCTTTCCCTGACCACAGCTGGGAAAGGATCTCTGCTTTTAAAGACTCGTGATTAGATGGGGTAATCCAGGATCTTCTCTCCATCTCAAGATCTTTCACATCAGCAGAGTCCCTTTTGCCACGTGAACTACATATTCACAGGTTCTGGGAAAACGTGGACATCTTTGGGGGGCCATTCTGCCCTTTGGGGTCTTAAGCCTTTCTCAGAGAAGGATTCTCACGGCCCTTACCCTGGTTGTTTGTCTAAGCAGGTAAGTCTAGTTCTGTGTCAGAAATTCAGGGTTCAGTCCAGTTCTAATTCATCCAGACTGAGTAAGGATAATTTCACCCGTAACTCAAGACTCCAACTCAGCTGCCTTAAACAGTCAGGAGTCCATCATCTCAGGTAAGAACGCTGGTAGGGCAGTTCCAGGGTTGATAAAAGAGTGAACTTCAAATTCACTCAGGTTCAGCCCGTCTTTCCACAGTTCCGGTCTGGGGCCACAGCACCCCTGGTAATTGCACAATGGCTTGAGTGTCTTCCAGCCTTCACCTCCTTACCCAGCCCAGTGCAGAATCAGAAAAGGAACTTCCTGTGTATCTATGAGCAAGGAAATGCTCCCCAGAAGTCCCTCAGACTTTCAGGTCTTGTTGGCAGGATTAGATTCAGTGCCCCTCCCTATGCTGGTCCACCGCAGGAGAGGAATGGAGATCTAATGTCTAATTCTTAGACTAATCAAAGATCTCGCATCCTGGGGACAACTGAGCACATGCCTGCTGGGAAGGTGAATGTGCAGACACCCGTGGGACTCGTCCAGGGGGAGGAAGGTGCAGGAGTTGGAAGCCACAACAGCGGTGCAGCCGTCATTTCATGTGTTTGGGGCATGCACCTGCCCTGCCCCCGATCCTGTGGTCGGTCAGCACTGGGCTCCAGCAGGGATGACCCACTAGCTGGGGTGAGGTCAGCAAGGAGACGAGATGGCATCTGGGGCTTGGGAGGTTGGCGGGTCCTGGAGAGCCTTGAAGGCTGTCTTACAGATTTGGACAGGGAAGAGCTTGTATTCAAGTGATGATTGGAGTCCGGAACCTTCCATCTGGCAGAGGTGTAGGAGATGGATTGGCCAAGGTGAGATGGAAGATGAGAGGGTGGGGAGGAACCAGGTGGGATGACAAAGCGAGAAGGTCAGGGGTGCGGGGCATCAGATGGATTTGAGACTTAGGGAGTAGAGCAGATCGGAGTTGTAACGGGGGCAGATGTGCAGGGTGACAGAGGTGAGAGTCAGGACGGGATGTCTGAGACAGCCTGGGGGAGGGCAGTTCCCCTGCTGAGATGGCACATGGGAGGAGGAGGTGGTCTGGGAAGGACCTAAGTGCAGCTTTGGACCTGGAGCTCTGGGCTGCAGGCTGTGAGAGGCTCCTCCACAGAGTTGGTCATCAAAGCTGTGGGAACAGACGGCATCACTCAGGAAGCAGGTAGAGCCCTGAGGAGCCTCACTGATGGAGGAAGAATGGAGGCTGAGACAGGACAAAGTGGCCATCAGGCACCGGCTGGTGAGTGGGGCCAGGAGCGATGTTAAGAGCCTTTGACTGGGACATAGGCAACGAATGCCAAGTGTTGCTCAGGTACCTGCCCGGCCCCACCACCTAGATTCTGTAGGTCAGAACGATGACTATTTGCTTCATCATACTTTTAGCCATATGTCCATCCTTCCATCCACCCATCCATCAGCTATTTGGATGCATTTCAAAATAAGTAGGGGAAGTCCACGTAACATAAAATTAACCATTTTAAAAAGAACAATTCAGTAGCACTCTGTACGTTCACAATGTTGTGCAACCATCTCTGGTTCCAAAATACTTTCTTTATCCCAAAAGGAAATCCATTATTA